TTGACAGATTTAAAAATTCCTTGGATGATTATTGGAAGAATGAAAGTTTTAAATACAAATGGGGAGCGGAAGCGCCTAGAGAAACGTGCAATCCTCTGGAATGTATTCGTGTGTATTTGTGGGTGATGTGCAGATGTGTGTGTAGCAATGTGTATGTGCTTATACACTTTGTGTTGATGTATTCATTGGTTTACTTATATGTGTAAGGATAACGATATATATAATATACATTCTATGTTAGGTGCACTTGTGCGGCTAGAGGTGCTGAGAATTGGTAGTGTCGCTTCCGACATGATACGCAATTGTAGAGTTGTTGTTAATTGGGCGGGTGTCTTTGTTCTGTTTTATTTGTTTGTTTTCTGCAGTTGAGACTTCATTATGTTAATAATTAGGTAAGAGAATGACCGTCTATAATTCTAAGATTTTGGCATAGATTCTCAACACTGATAGGTGTTAAATTAACTAATTTGGAACTAACTACATTTATTTCTAATAGTTTTCGGGGTCGACAAGGATAGTGTAGCTACGAGGCTTGTCCACAGTGACGATGTCGTGAGGTTGGATTGGTGATGGCCGGGATGAAGTGACGGAAGATGTGATGGGTAAAATGGTGGTCATTGGCACCGGTGATGAAGACTATACGTTGGATTGATAGACAGATACATATTTGACATTTGACATTTTTTATTTCATCAAATCAAAACAAAGAAATCAAAGAAATGATATCAATGAAAAGAAATGATCTGGAAATCGAAAAAAAAATATGGTTTTCTTGTAATGATTACCAGTGACAATTGTAAAAATGAGAACATATTTTAAATATTTTAGTGCATGTAAACTCACATTCATATTACAAATCCTAAAAAACCAAAAATGGAATCATAATTATTAAGTAACCAACTCCTTTACATTTTTATAAGAATGTCGTTTGTAATTATTGAAACACAAATATATATATATATATATAGAGACCCACGTAAAACATACTTATTCACACACATATATACATACACACACACGCACACACATACACACACACGTACACACACGCACACGTACATGAGCCCACACAAAAAGTTAAGGGGGTTTAAATGTTAAAAAGTAGGATTTGATGTCTTTTTTAAATTTTACAACGGATTTGCTTTCTTTCAAATATTCAGGTAATTTGTTCCACGTCTTAGGTCCGACGACTCTTATGCTACTATTGATAAGTTTCAATCAGTTTTTTTCAAAATAAAATGTTGAGGTATGTCTTGTGTGTTTTAACTGGATTGCGTTACTATAAATAAACAAATTATTGAAATTTTTGGAATTAAGTTGTTAATAAGTTTAAATATAAATATTGAGATGCATGTGTAATAAATTTGTTTTATTGAAAGTAGTTTTGCAATCTGAAAATAATTAGAGGTGTGGTCATTAAATTTTAAATCGAATAACATTCTTATAAAACGTTTTTGACATTTTAACAGGGGATCCAGCTGATAAGCAGTGCTATTTCCCCATAATGAATATAAGGGTATATAAAGCTATAATACAAATCTTTTAATATTGTGGAATTAATCTTATTTTTGATTTCATTGCTGTTGTTATTATTGTATTTTTTTTATACTATTTCATATTATTATTGTTTTTTGGACATTTAAATTATCATCACATATTATATATGAGCACATGGATTTTAATCTACGCTCATTATTTAAATTTTATGTTATATATACATACATATATATATATAGGGTTGAGACTAACTGATATGCAGTTTGAAAAACCAAATTGAACAATGCATACAATGCTGTGATAATTTTAAATAATTGAACATATAAAGGTTGAATATCTTGTTGGTTCTGAGGTTGAATAACTTGTTGGTCTCGAGGTTGAATATCTTGTTGGTTCTGAGGTTGAATAATTTGTTGGTTCTGAGGTTGAATATCTTGTTGGTTTCGAGATTGAATAATTTGTTCAATTCAAAAAGATGGAGTTAACTTAGAAGGTGTAAAATCATATAAATATAGTGTTGGGTTGGTTAATAATGGGGTTAAATTTGGGTTATTAAATATTAGGTCAATTATTACTAAATGGGGAGATGTATATCAATTATTAATGGAGGGTCTGGATATTTTTATTATCGTTGAATCTTGGCATGGTTCCTCTGATCATATATCGGTGAAAATGTCAATGCCACCTGGATATATGTTTGTTGATTATTTAAGAGTAAATGATCTATACCATGGGGGGTTAATAATTTTTTTTCGAAATTGTTACAAATTTGAAAAAATAAATGTACCTGTTTTTTCATTATTTGAGGCACTTTGTCTTGCCTTGACAATTGATAAAATACTTTTTTTGGCGATGTATCGGCCTGGCTCTGTAATGATATCTTCATCATTTTTTGAGGAATTGTCTTCAATATTAGAATTTGTAACATCACTATGTGATAAGGTAATTTTATTGGGTGATCTCAATATACATGTTGAGAAAAGTGATTGTGGTCACACTATCCGCCTTAATAATTTATTTGATTTGTTTCTAATGCGTAATGTCATAAATGAGCCTACGCATAATTTAGGAGGTATACTAGACCTCATCGTGTCTGGTTATCAAATGTCGGTTAATGATATCAAGATATATCCGAGTGGGGTACACTCGGATCATAGTTTGATATCGGCGTGTTTGCCTATATCACGTCCGCTTTCTCGTAAGATGAAAAAATCAGTGCGCTCTTGGAATCGAATTGATAAAAATAAATTGATTTTATTAATTCAAGAATCACCAATTGTTAAATTTTGTGATATTTTTGATGCAAATGAAGCTGCTGAGCTATTTAATAATGAATTATTAAAAATTGCTGATGCTGTTGCACCGATTCATATGGTTGAAACAAAAATTGTGGCGACTGCACCTTGGTATGATGGTGAGTATCGTAAGATAGGGCGTAATTGTCGAAGGGCAGAAAGAAAATATAGATTACATTATAGAATGGGGGGCAAAAAATTGTGTGTTGAATCATTAAGGTTAAAAAACAACTATTTCAGGGAGAAAAAAGAAAATTATTGGAAAAAATTGGTTGATGAAAATGTTAATGATCCTAAAAAGTTATGGAGAATTTTAAATAAAATTTTATGTAAAGAGTCATCAAATGATTGTACTATGACCCATACAGCTAACGATTACGTTGAATTTTTCATTAAAAAAATTCATTGAAGAGATAAAAAACAATAAATCTGTAGCTGGAGAGCCTACTATAAAGTGTAGGTCTAATGTTGACAAAATTTTGTGAATTTTCGCGGGTATCGCAGTCTGAAGTTAGAACCTTTGTAAATTAGTTCTCCGTCAACCTCTTGTATGATTGATTGTATGCCTGCTAATATTTTTAAACAATATATAGATTATTTTTTGCCCTATTTTACGGAATTAATTAATTTGTGTGTCAACAGGCACATTTCCAGCTGTTTATAGGCATGCAATTATTATTCCTCTTCAGAAGCATGCGTCTTTAGACATAAATGAACTCAAAAGTTTTCGACCTGTCTCGAATTTAACTTTTATTTCGAAGGTTTTAGAAAGAATTGTTCATAAACAATTTCTAAAGTATTTAAATGATAATAACTTTTTTCCGAATAATCAATCTGGTTTCAGACGCTTTCATTCGACGGAGACGGCCTTGTTACAGGTATTGTTGGAACTTTTTGAGGCTTCTGATCGCAATCAGGTCTCTTTTCTGACTCTAATTGATATGAGTGCCGCATTTGACTGTGTGAATCATGATACACTGTTACGTCGATTATGTTTAAGTTACGGTGTCTGTGACTTAGCTTTGGAATTTTTCAAATCTTATCTGTGAAAACGTACCCAGCAAGTTTATTTTAAAATTCTTGGTCAAATACAGTTGATGTTTTGTCTGGAGTTCCCCAGGGGTCTGTTTTAGGCCCGCTTCTTTTTACGTTATATACAGCCGATATTATGTATCTCATTGATGAATTTTCTTTAAAGGGTTTTGCTTATGCAGATGATGTTCAGATAATTGCAAGTGCGGCGACTGGGGAGTTTGATTTTCTGATTGAAAGAATGTTGAATTGTTTGGGTGCACTGTATG